TCCGCCACGAGCAACAAGGGCTGCTCCAAAACGGGGAAGCCTGGCCCTGCACCAAAGGCAGTGCCAAGCTCAGCTGTCACTTACTGGCTCAGCAAGTTCAGGCTGTGAAGGGACAGCAGCTGAAGGCTTCATCTTCCTTTGCTCCTCTTCAGCCTCTTCCTCAATGACAGAGGCAGCCAGAGGAGCTGCTGACCCTGCTGTTGTGCCCTGCAGGCAGACAGAAGTGAGAGAGATGGGCAAAAGCCAGTGCCTTAGGAGCTGCTTTCTATAGAGCTGGGAAAGGACCCAGAAGAAGGGCAAATCATAGACTTGGATACAAGTGGGCCTCTGAGTCACGCAAACCCGAGGAAGTTGGCTGAATGAGCTGCTACTCCATCTTGCTGTGCATTTGAGCTTCCCTGCTGCCTAGAAGCAGCAAGATGCCTCGGAGCTGTCCCATTTGCCTTTCATCTCTTGAAAGGCTCTTCACTGGAAAATCAGCAAACAGCCAGTGCTCCCTTTGCTACTGCTGATGCCAGCGGGCAGCTGGCCTTTCCTTCAGCCTCCCACGCCGGCACTCCACACTGGGCTGCAACAGGCCAAGCTGGCAGAATTGCTGCACCATTCTCACACGCCAGCAACGGCACAGCTTCCTTTGCCACTCACCAAAGGACAGGCATGTCTCCATCCGCGTGTCAGGTGACCTGCAGCCAGCAAGGCAAAAGGAACCAGAGGCCCTTAGAAAAGTGCCTGTGCTGGCCACTCCCACAGCACAAGGCAGCCCCAACACAGAGCATTTCCCTTTCCCAACATGCCTCCAGGAGCAACAGCTCTTTCCCACAGCAAGCAAGAGAACAACAAGGACGCTAGAGGAGGCTCTGTCTGCATTTGGGCCTCTTTTGCAAGGAGAGAAATAGGAAGACGGTGCTGGAAATGCCCGCTGCTCTTCAAAACTTTGAGCTCCTCTTGTGCCCAACAGCTCAAGCTGCATTTCCCTCTTCTCTTTCCTGCATTTTCCTTATACATTCTTTTAAATGGCATGCCCTAATTCCCATCCCTTGGCTGAAGATGATAGCCCAGCAAAGCTTCCACAAAGGGTCCCTTCCCTGTGGCAGCTCCCTGCTGAAGCAGCCCAGGAACAGCTGCTGGGCTCAGTAGCAAACCCTCCCTGCACTGCAGTTTCTGCTGCATCGCCAAGGCAATCGCAGTCTTGGCACAGCATCAAAGGCTCAAGTCATGCAGCCAAGGCCTCTAAGGGGCAGAATATGGAGCAAAAGGTGCTTTCCTTCACTCCTGGAGAGAACCACTGAGTTGGTAGAAGTACTTCTGAGGATCTCCCCTCAGGGTCTGCAATTTGCAGCTTGTCTTGCTTGAAGCAGCAAGCCGAGGAAATGACGGACTCCGCTGCCACGCACTCTCCCGGGGAAGGAAGGCAACCGCTGCAGGTTGCATGGCAAATACTCTGCACGCGCCACCCAGTACAGATGCCCCCTTTGGAGCTGATGCTGCTGGCAGGACACTGACCAAAGCGGTGGCACCTTCAGGGCCATTTTGTTCCCACAGAAACTGGGCCACTGGTGCGGCATAAAGAGCAGAGCCAAGCAAAAGTCGGGGGATGCCAGCCCCAGGAGAAACCTTTACTTACGAGTCAGCTGGGTCAGGTAGTAGCCAGAATAGACAACAGAAAAGACGGTGCAAACGGCGGCACAGACTTGCCCGATCATTTTGGCAGCGCTGTGCGCGTTTGCACGCTGAGTACCACCCAAGGGAAAGCCAAGACTCCTCTCGGGGTGCAGGCCGTCTGCTGAGAGCTCCTTGAGCACAAGGATCCTCCTGCAGGGAGCCAGCGGAAGAGCTGCTCTGGACGACCAGGCCTGGCGCGCACCGGGACAATGCTGTGCTGACAGCACTGTGACGTGGCACCTCTGGCTTGACCTCACAAAGGCAGCTGCTCTGGGGCTTTCTTGTGCCCAGCAAGACAACCTTCTGTACAGCTAATGCAAAAGAAAAGCCTGGGAAATTCTCCTCACTCACAAAGGCAGTGCTCAAGGCATCCCAGGGGAACTCAGAAAATGCGCCAATCCAAGCAGCATTCAAGCAATGCAAGCAAACATGACTTTTGGTCCCCAAAGCTTTGACTGAAAGCAAGTCTGCTTCTTCTAGGTGGCATCCTAGCTGGTTTGGAAAATGTCACTAACTTCTTCAGTGACATTTAGATGGCAAACAAAGCAAAGACAATAAATTTCCAGGACTATTGTAGGCTGCAGTTGCTCCTTGAACACGCGGGCGCATGCTGACCTATGGAGGGGCTTGGCAGCTGGCCTGCAAGCACAGCCGAGTTCATGGAAGAAATAGCAGTTGATGGTTTTTGAGTGTATCCATAGCAAGGAAGAAGACAAGGCTGTCAGCATGGAAACCCATTAGAAGAGATAATGGAAAACTTGCGTATGCTAGACTAGGTGCCTAAGTAGATGTGCATACGTGCCTCATAAATTTCTGTAAAACTTTTGCCAGTTATATTGACGTTAATTGCTTTGCACCACTGGATAGAAGAAGTTATTGTGATGTAGTTAGTGACTTGAGATCACGCTTTGTTAAGAGTGTATAAGCTGGAGAACATGCAGAATGAAAAAAACAAACCTTTTTCTTCTTGGACCGTGATCACGTGTGTATGCCACGTCCGGCCTAACGGTGATGCTTGCCCCATCTCTGGGTCAAGAAACAAGTCTTGTCTGACTGGTAACTTTTCAACAAGCTGAGAAAGAAATTAGTACCTGGACATGCAGGTTTCTGAAGGGAGGAAAGAAAAGTGTTGACAAGAATAAAGCTAAGTTTTAAATGCCTGAAACACTCAAACATGACATGTTGTGGGATAGTGTACCATATGTTAGACAGAGGCAAAACAAACCACAACTCATTAGTATCTGGACTTCATTGCCCACTATGCTTAGAAATGTTGCTTGAAGGCACTTTGTGTCAAGGATCCAGTTCCTGTAGATGACTGTCGACGTAGATCAAAATCCTACCAACAAATCAGTGTCAAAACCAGCAAGAGGGAGACTTTTGTCCTTGGCAGGAGCTTCCAGGTGCTCCTGGAAGTCACCAGGCCTAGACACAAAGATGTGTATTCAACGGAGGCAGAGAAGCATCATGCTTAGCTCTAAATGTGACCTTTGCTAGCAGATCATACTAGCAGCTACTAAATTACATTTCTTCTGCTCTTAGCCAGAGCCAAGATGGGAATCAAAGTCTAGATCACAGGAGAAGATCACACGAGCCTCAGCTTTTCCAGAAGAGGAAAACTACAAAGGATAGTAAATTTGCGTCGCATTTACAGGCTATTTTTGCAGATCGATAGACAAGGGATGAAGCTTAAAAGATGAGAGCAAAGGAAAATCAACAGATGTGCTGAAAGGGAGTGAAGAGGAAGGAGACCTCAAATTAACTGAAAAGCTGCACAGAAAGCTTCTCTACTTTGTGCACTTGCCTCAAGTTTTAAATGGCAAAATCTAGGAGTATTTCCAACTTAGTTTTATTAATTCTAGAAGAAAGACAATCAAAACGGTGTGCTTCTGCTTACAGTATGAAGTAAAGCACAGGAAGCCATTAGAGTAAGAAAAATTGTGTTCAGAAGGCTGAGGCAGCCTTAGGGGTAGGAGGCATGGGGACTGCTGTTAGGGACTGCTCAGGGACTGGGTGCTCCTTGAAGGTTGCCCACAGGCCTGAGTTCCACGCCTGTGGGCAACCTTCAAGGAGCACCCAGTCCCTGAGCAGTCCCTAACAGTGCGTATGCCAGCAGATGGAGGCGAAGCGGAGCCCCAGCTCGGTGGGAAAAGGGCCGGGGTGGGGAGCCGTGCTCAGCAGGGGCTCCTGCATCAAATTGCTCAAAGACAGGCGTGCTATGGTGTGTGCATGTTTCCAACACCTGGCAACAGCAGGCTGGCCCAGATGTGGGAAAAGGCCAAGGAGGCAGCAGAGTGGGAATGGGGCTCTGCAGGAGGCCCGGGCGGTTGCACACCCCTGTGGGGGATGAGGCTGGCCCAGAGGGTCCCTGGGGGTCTGGGGTGAAAAGGGGGGAGAAGAGAAGCAGGGAGGAAATGCCAGATGCCGCTGTGAGAATGCCATTCCGTCCCACAGGTGACATAGTGAGAGGAGGGTGGCAACAAAATGGTGATTGCTGCTGATCAGCCTGACATCTTCAAGACAAGAGGCCCAGAAAGGACTGCACATCTGCCTCCTAGTGTTGTCCTGAATGGGAGCTCATTACCCGGTGTTCATTACCTGTAGGTCTCTCAGCTTCCCGCAGGCATGCCACACTTGCGGTAAGCAAAGCTGCTTACCTCCCTATGTTCTTTGGGCCTCTGAAAGGGACTGTCCACTTAGCTGCAGCCTGGCAAGGAAGGGAGTCTTACAACACTGTGGATATTTTCGACTTTTATTGACACTCGGGCTGAAACCAAGTATCCCCTCGCTGCTTCTCCATCTTCAGCATTCTGTCCTGCAGGTGGCCTGCTCAGGCTGACAGCTTGGAGCGCCTGCAGGCTCCAGTTCTACTGCAGCCCAGCTTTTCCTCTCACTGCTTAATTCTTATTATGACAATTCTTTCATTTCTACTTCAAAGCTTCCCTAAATTAACAACACTCTATCCTAAGCTAAACAATCCTCTACTATCCAAGCTCTCTATGTTCTATAGTCCTTAAAAGTTGATCCCTACATCTCCTAATTTTTTTAAACTTTCATCTTTTGCAGAAAGAAAAACAACAGAGCTTTAAATTGAACCTAACAACATATCTAACCCAACCTAACCTAACCTAACCTAACCTAACCTAACCTAACCTAACCGCTAACCTAACAGCTAACCTAACAGCTAACCTAAGAGCTAAACTGAGCAAATATTTACACTATCGTGTTTCCTATCTACAGCACAGCTCCTCTTCAAACTCGGGGGATGGCTGAAGCTCGGCCTAAAGATGACGCATCCCCTTTTCCCTCCTCTCGGCTGGCGGGGCATCAGGGCCTCCTCAGGCGCAGGTGTCTCCTCTCCAGTCTTCCTGCACTCGCTTGGCTGAGATGATCAGAGCAGCCAGGCTGGAGGCAGGATCGCCTGAGGTCACAAAGGGATGCTGCCCAGAGGAAAAAGAACAAAGAAAGGAACTCTTACTTTCCAGGATCACATCCTCGCGGGCTCAAGCAGGATTCCCTGGCTATCAGCAAGACACACATCGAGCACCGAGGGCAGCATGTCACCTTGCGCCTTCTGTAGGAGCTCCTGGGCAGACCAGCGCCTGTCCTCATCTGCCTGCAGGCAGCAGCGGAGGAAGTCGCGCAGGAGAGCCGAGTGGTGCCTGGGGTTCTGCAGTTTTGGGGGCCCGTTCCTTTCTAGCAGTTCAAAAACCTACAGCACATGGATGCAAGAGGACACTCCACCTGCTCCTTTGCTAGCCACACACAGCTCTCTCCACACGGAGCCCTCTTGCTAAGCTGCACCTTACCCGGAGACGGGCTTCCCGCTGGTAAGGAGCTTCCCCTTCCACCATTTCCAGCCCCATGATCCCCAGGGACCAGATGTCCACTTTGGGGCCGTAGGCTTCTCCTCTCACCACCTCCGGTGCCATCCAGCTGGGAGTGCCGACGCTGGAGCTGCGCTTGCTGTGCTCAGGGCTGAGCTGAGCACAGAGGCCAAAGTCACCTGAGGACAAAAACAAAGCCTGTCAAAGCCAGCTACCACTGGCAAAGCGGCCAAAACCATTGCCCACTCCAAGCCTGACCAGGCCATGCTGAATCTAGCTGAAAAAGCAGCTGAGCCCTCTTTCCACGTGCCTGGAGCCAGGCAAATAAGGCATCGGCCGCTTCAAAAACACCCTGACGATTCACGCACTGGCCAAGCCGCGCTTCTGCCCCAGTGGCCGTCACCAAAATGCAAGCGCACGGCATATGCTGGACATGCTGCAGCCCAGCAGGGACACCCACCCAACTTGACGGATCCGTCCGTGCTCACAAGGACGTTGCAACTTTTGATGTCTCTGTGGATGACTTGGCGGCAATGAAGGAAATGCAGTCCTTGCAGGCACTGAGAGAGAAGAAGGAGGGAGGGAAAGTTAACGTGCAGGATCTGATTTCATCCCACCCGCAAGGAAAGAGCTCAACGGGATTGGCGGCTTTCTCAGGGAATTGTGAGCCAGGGCGAAACATCACGCTGCTGTCATCATGAAGAGCTTGCTGCTTCAACACTCTTGGAAGTTTTTTCTAGATTTCCAAGCAAAGGCACCTGGGCTCCCAAAAGTTCCACCGGCCTTGGGTAGGAAGCGCGTCACCTTTGGCTGGGAGGCGGCACGGTAAAGAATTTTGGGGAAGCCTAGTGGCAGCAGAAGAGGAAGCTGCTGGTGACAGCAGCACCTTCGAGCTGTTCCAGAATGCATCGCCATCCAGGCTGCAATGCTATCCTTTGAAGCTGAGGACAGCTCTTTGCCCTTAGCTTGAAATTCTGCCACCCGCATGCTGCCTTCCAGTGGCAAGCAATGTAGGACAGACAGACAGGCTCCAGGCAAACATTCCCAGGCAAAGCTGAGAAGAGGAAGAAAGAGAAATTGAGCCAGTGAGCGAGCACCAAGGCCAGACAACAGACCGGATGGAAGAGTGCAAGAACAGAGCCTGAGGAGTGCGAGGGCACCGGCAGGCAGTACACTTCCCATGCTCTTTCTTCTCCTGTGTGGCATGAGAGCAGCAACAGCAGCAGCAGCAGCAAAAGAAGGGTGAGAGCAAGAAATCTCGGCTCTCCTTAAGCTCCAGCTGGCAAGCAGCATCCGGGCAGGCTTGGGCAAGCACAAGCGGGATCCCTCACCTCCCGACAGACAGCGCCTATCTGTCCTTCCTCCAGGTACACTGCCCTCAGCACATCAAACAAGGTGCCGCCGTCCATGAACTCCATGGCCAGCCAGAGCTCCGCATCCACCAGGTAGCTGAAAGAAGAAAACTACGGCATGGAGAAACAGAATGGGCACAGCCTCAGTCACCCCAGGGCCTGAGCCAGGTTTTTGCAGCTGCTCTCCAAGCTACGTGGGCCACAAGAGACTATTGAACAGCAGCTCCACCTCCTCCCACGCTCTGGAGACCAGCAGAGAAATCATCCCCAGCTCTGTTCTCTGCCAGTGACCAAAGGGCATCGTCTCTTTGCGCTTGCACCAGCTAAAGCTACATTGACACCAGAATATGCCAACCTGTCTAAGTAGGTAACGATATTGGGACTCCTGTTGTCCCTCATGGCCAGGATTTCATTGGCAGCCAGCTCCTCGGACATCTCCTCCTCGAGTGACATGATCTTGATTGCCACCTGCAATGACATTGGCCACCGGTACCTTGAGAAGACGCACCCTGCTCGAGATCACAAGGAGCACGGAGCGAGTGCTGGTGCAATGAGGCAGCACGCTGGGCCAAAGCGCCTTGTCACTAGACAGCAGAGCTTAGCAGAAGCACCAAAGGCCAGCCCAAATGCATTCTGCCCCCTGAGCCTAGACTGCATTTCAGAGGAACAGCCTCTGCTGCAGACATGGAGCTGCCACCCAAACCTCCAAGCAGAGCTCACAGCAGCGGGCAAAGTGCTCCGGAGCTGCAAAATGGCATGGGGCTGTTGGCACTTTACCTGTTGTCCGCTGCTGGTGTCAAGGGCTTTATAAACAGCTCCAAACCCCCTAGAAAGACAAAAGCAGCAGAAAGACACCTTTATCCCTTTGGCAGTGAAAGCAAGCCCAGGTAGCAGATCTCCCCAGGCTGCCTGGACGCCTTCCTCAGAAAAAATGCCTGGCTGCAGCATCTCTTCTGCCAACGGCACCTCAGCCTATCAGCCCTCTGCCATGCGGCGCAGGCTGTCCGAGGGAACACTAAGGTGCAGCATGAAGACCAAGGGCCGCTGGAAATCTCCAAGGCGCACGCCCTGCCAGGTCATTTCACAACCTAAGGGGAACTCTCTCCTTGTGCGGGTGTGCATGCATGTGTGTGTCAAAAAAGGGAGAACAATTTGAGTCAGAAGACTGTCCTTGACAATCTGACCTTTCTTGGATGGCAAGGTGCTCTTTCAGGCCCGAAAGCTGCAGGGGCAGGGGTTTTCCCAGCTCCTGCTCCTCACTGCTGCAAGCAAGACACTGCCAGCATCAACTTGTCTTTGATGAGGCCTTTGGATTGCTCTGACCAAGCAGTCCGGGCAGGCCACACGAGGTCAAGCCAGAGCCTGACCATGATTGGGGCTTGCCTGACTTCACGCTTGATATTGCACCAGCCAAAGACCTGGTCCACACTTTTGTAAAATGAGCTGACGTCACGCTTACCCTCGCCCGAGTTCCTCAAATGCCGTGTATTTGCCTGTTGGCCGGCCCGGACTCACGATGCTCCCTGAAAGACAAAAGCAGTGCAGGGTGCTCACTGGCACACAGAGACGCCGCTGCCCAGAGCGTCCCAAAGGCAGCCCCACTGCCCGCAGCTCTGGGCCCTTTGCGGTCCCTCGGCTTCCAGCTGCTGAGACCAGCAAGTGGGAGGGCCATCTTCTCCACCTTTCATCAGGTGGCCTTTCCAAGAAGGCCTTGATTTCTTTCAAGAGCAGCATCCCACGCGATAAGCCAAAATGATGAGCCCTTAAGAAGGGGGCCCTAAGAGGTAACCAAGGGCCTTTGCAGCCTCCTCACTCACACCCACCATCACTGGCAGGTCCACTGCCAGGGGCACAAAGTGTCTGGGCCGGAGGAGGAGTAAGAACCAGAGCCAGAAAACAGCTGGCGCCAGACAGCTGCCTGGGCAATAGTCACTTGCTAGGTGCCAGCCTTCTGCTCAAGCAGAAACAATCTCTGCTTTTGTCTTTGGCCCACAAGGCAGCCCAGGCAGGGCCAAGGCAGGCCCAGCCGCCCTCACAGGCAGCAGGGACTCCCTGAGCGCTGCCGCGCTGCCTCAGAGCACAACAACACCTTCTGCAGAGAGGCCTAAGTGCCTCTGAGACCGAGGGGCAGCATCTGGCGCAGCCTACACCCAGACACGCGCACAACACCCTGCTCTGGCAGACAAGAAATGCACCGGACGTACTCAGTGTCTTCAGGCCCTCCCTCATCTCGGGCTGCTGGGCTGCGCTGCTGCAGGAAGTGCCGGCAGCGGGGGTTGAGCTGGCTGCTGCAGGCCACGCTGGTCCGGCGGCACCAGGCTGAATGGCAGAGCCTGTCTTGCGCTGGGACAAGAAAGGATTGCCCGTCAGAAGGGTGGCTGGCACACATGCCCCCCCTAAGCGCACGGCAAAAGCAAGGCCTTGGGAAGGTGCTGCCAGCCACGGCCAGGCCTCTCCAGCTGGGGCAGTTCCCATGTCCCCTTCTCAAAGGCACCTTCGGGAGAAGCCCAAAGGCTACTGGCATCCAGCCCCTCCCGACCACCTCCATGCTCCACGTCTTCAGCTGTTCTGCAAGACACTGGCAACAAGGTATCGATGGGGCTGCCAAGATCCACAAAGAGATCAGAGCAGGGCCCCAGAGCCTTGCTGCTTTCCTCCTCCTGTCTTTTCCTGGGCAATGAAATCAGCCCGGAGTTGGCACGCAACAGTCTGCTCAGAAGCCCGCAGCGTGTCCCTTCTCTGATCTGTTTCACGGATTTCCCTTCTCTATGGCAGCCTTTAGGGAGCGGCCCTTGGGAGCCGCCTTCCAGCCCTGCCCAGACCCACCGGCCCTTTTACAGTGCAGGCCTGCCGAGGATTCTCCTCTCCAAACTCTGCTCTGACCGGCTGGAAGGGAAGCACAGCCTGAAGCTAATTAGTCCACGGAGAGGGCAGGTCCCTTCCAGGGCCCAGTGTCTCCCAGGTACCCTGCAAGGCTGTCAACTGCGAATTTGGGCCGCGCTGTCCGCTGACCACTGGCAGCCTGCACTGACCACGGGCACAAGGGGCTGACTCCTGAGAGTCACTGAATGCTGCCTCCTGTCTGATCCCAAGAGACACTCTGGCACCCTCTCAGCATCCCAGCTTAAATGTCAAACTTCAGAACCCATTGGCCAGGGCTCCGCGGCTTGCCTGAAGCCGCACTACGCCTCAGCAGGCACACGGCCGCCAGCATCTTCCGCCACGAGCAACAAGGGCTGCTCCAAAACGGGGAAGCCTGGCCCTGCACCAAAGGCAGTGCCAAGCTCAGCTGTCACTTACTGGCTCAGCAAGTTCAGGCTGTGAAGGGACAGCAGCTGAAGGCTTCATCTTCCTTTGCTCCTCTTCAGCCTCTTCCTCAATGACAGAGGCAGCCAGAGGAGCTGCTGACCCTGCTGTTGTGCCCTGCAGGCAGACAGAAGTGAGAGAGATGGGCAAAAGCCAGTGCCTTAGGAGCTGCTTTCTATTGAGCTGGGAAAGGACCCAGAAGGGCAAATCATAGACTTGGATACAAGTGGGCCTCTGAGTCACGCAAACCCGAGGAAGTTGGCTGAATGAGCTGCTACTCCATCTTGCTGTGCATTTGAGCTTCCCTGCTGCCTAGAAGCAGCAAGATGCCTCGGAGCTGTCCCATTTGCCTTTCATCTCTTGAAAGGCTCTTCACTGGAAAATCAGCAAACAGCCAGTGCTCCCTTTGCTACTGCTGATGCCAGCGGGCAGCTGGCCTTTCCTTCAGCCTCCCACGCCGGCACTCCACACTGGGCTGCAACAGGCCAAGCTGGCAGAATTGCTGCACCATTCTCACACGCCAGCAACGGCACAGCTTCCTTTGCCACTCACCAAAGGACAGGCATGTCTCCATCCGCGTGTCAGGTGACCTGCAGCCAGCAAGGCAAAAGGAACCAGAGGCCCTTAGAAAAGTGCCTGTGCTGGCCACTCCCACAGCACAAGGCAGCCCCAACACAGAGCATTTCCCTTTCCCAACATGCCTCCAGGAGCAACAGCTCTTTCCCACAGCAAGCAAGAGAACAACAAGGACGCTAGAGGAGGCTCTGTCTGCATTTGGGCCTCTTTTGCAAGGAGAGAAATAGGAAGACGGTGCTGGAAATGCCCGCTGCTCTTCAAAACTTTGAGCTCCTCTTGTGCCCAACAGCTCAAGCTGCATTTCCCTCTTCTCTTTCCTGCATTTTCCTTATACATTCTTTTAAATGGCATGCCCTAATTCCCATCCCTTGGCTGAAGATGATAGCCCAGCAAAGCTTCCACAAAGGGTCCCTTCCCTGTGGCAGCTCCCTGCTGAAGCAGCCCAGGAACAGCTGCTGGGCTCAGTAGCAAACCCTCCCTGCACTGCAGTTTCTGCTGCATCGCCAAGGCAATCGCAGTCTTGGCACAGCATCAAAGGCTCAAGTCATGCAGCCAAGGCCTCTAAGGGGCAGAATATGGAGCAAAAGGTGCTTTCCTTCACTCCTGGAGAGAACCACTGAGTTGGTAGAAGTACTTCTGAGGATCTCCCCTCAGGGTCTGCAATTTGCAGCTTGTCTTGCTTGAAGCAGCAAGCCGAGGAAATGACGGACTCCGCTGCCACGCACTCTCCCGGGGAAGGAAGGCAACCGCTGCAGGTTGCATGGCAAATACTCTGCACGCGCCACCCAGTACAGATGCCCCCTTTGGAGCTGATGCTGCTGGCAGGACATTGACCAAAGCGGTGGCACCTTCAGGGCCATTTTGTTCCCACAGAAACTGGGCCACTGGTGCGGCATAAAGAGCAGAGCCAAGCAAAAGTCGGGGGATGCCAGCCCCAGGAGAAACCTTTACTTACGAGTCAGCTGGGTCAGGTAGTAGCCAGAATAGACAACAGAAAAGACGGTGCAAACGGCGGCACAGACTTGCCCGATCATTTTGGCAGCGCTGTGCGCGTTTGCACGCTGAGTACCACCCAAGGGAAAGCCAAGACTCCTCTCGGGGTGCAGGCCGTCTGCTGAGAGCTCCTTGAGCACAAGGATCCTCCTGCAGGGAGCCAGCGGAAGAGCTGCTCTGGACGACCAGGCCTGGCGCGCACCGGGACAACGCTGTGCTGACAGCACTGTGACGTGGCACCTCTGGCTTGACCTCACAAAGGCAGCTGCTCTGGGGCTTTCTTGTGCCCAGCAAGACAACCTTCTGTACAGCTAATGCAAAAGAAAAGCCTGGGAAATTCTCCTCACTCACAAAGGCAGTGCTCAAGGCATCCCAGGGGAACTCAGAAAATGCGCCAATCCAAGCAGCATTCAAGCAATGCAAGCAAACATGACTTTTGGTCCCCAAAGCTTTGACTGAAAGCAAGTCTGCTTCTTCTAGGTGGCATCCTAGCTGGTTTGGAAAATGTCACTAACTTCTTCAGTGACATTTAGATGGCAAACAAAGCAAAGACAATAAATTTCCAGGACTATTGTAGGCTGCAGTTGCTCCTTGAACACGCGGGCGCATGCTGACCTATGGAGGGGCTTGGCAGCTGGCCTGCAAGCACAGCCGAGTTCATGGAAGAAATAGCAGTTGATGGTTTTTGAGTGTATCCATAGCAAGGAAGAAGACAAGGCTGTCAGCATGGAAACCCATTAGAAGAGATAATGGAAAACTTGCGTATGCTAGACTAGGTGCCTAAGTAGATGTGCATACGTGCCTCATAAATTTCTGTAAAACTTTTGCCAGTTATATTGACGTTAATTGCTTTGCACCACTGGATAGAAGAAGTTATTGTGATGTAGTTAGTGACTTGAGATCACGCTTTGTTAAGAGTGTATAAGCTGGAGAACATGCAGAATGAAAAAAACAAACCTTTTTCTTCTTGGACCGTGATCACGTGTGTATGCCACGTCCGGCCTAACGGTGATGCTTGCCCTATCTCTGGGTCAAGAAACAAGTCTTGTCTGACTGGTAACTTTTCAACAAGCTGAGAAAGAAATTAGTACCTGGACATGCAGGTTTCTGAAGGGAGGAAAGAAAAGTGTTGACAAGAATAAAGCTAAGTTTTAAATGCCTGAAACACTCAAACATGACATGTTGTGGGATAGTGTACCATATGTTAGACAGAGGCAAAACAAACCACAACTCATTAGTATCTGGACTTCATTGCCCACTATGCTTAGAAATGTTGCTTGAAGGCACTTTGTGTCAAGGATCCAGTTCCTGTAGATGACTGTCGACGTAGATCAAAATCCTACCAACAAATCAGTGTCAAAACCAGCAAGAGGGAGACTTTTGTCCTTGGCAGTAGCTTCCAGGTGCTCCTGGAAGTCACCAGGCCTAGACACAAAGATGTGTATTCAACGGAGGCAGAGAAGCATCATGCTTAGCTCTAAATGTGACCTTTGCTAGCAGATCATACTAGCAGCTACTAAATTACATTTCTTCTGCTCTTAGCCAGAGCCAAGATGGGAATCAAAGTCTAGATCACAGGAGAAGATCACACGAGCCTCAGCTTTTCCAGAAGAGGAAAACTACAAAGGATAGTAAATTTGCGTCGCATTTACAGGCTATTTTTGCAGATCGATAGACAAGGGATGAAGCTTAAAAGATGAGAGCAAAGGAAAATCAACAGATGTGCTGAAAGGGAGTGAAGAGGAAGGAGACCTCAAATTAACTGAAAAGCTGCACAGAAAGCTTCTCTACTTTGTGCACTTGCCTCAAGTTTTAAATGGCAAAATCTAGGAGTATTTCCAACTTAGTTTTATTAATTCTAGAAGAAAGACAATCAAAACGGTGTGCTTCTGCTTACAGTATGAAGTAAAGCACAGGAAGCCATTAGAGTAAGAAAAATTGTGTTCAGAAGGCTGAGGCAGCCTTAGGGGTAGGAGGCATGGGGACTGCTGTTAGGGACTGCTCAGGGACTGGGTGCTCCTTGAAGGTTGCCCACAGGCCTGAGTTCCACGCCTGTGGGCAACCTTCAAGGAGCACCCAGTCCCTGAGCAGTCCCTAACAGTGCGTATGCCAGCAGATGGAGGCGAAGCGGAGCCCCAGCTCGGTGGGAAAAGGGCCGGGGTGGGGAGCCGTGCTCAGCAGGGGCTCCTGCATCAAATTGCTCAAAGACAGGCGTGCTATGGTGTGTGCATGTTTCCAACACCTGGCAGCAGCAGGCTGGCCCAGATGTGGGAAAAGGCCAAGGAGGCAGCAGAGTGGGAATGGGGCTCTGCAGGAGGCCCGGGCGGTTGCACACCCCTGTGGGGGATGAGGCTGGCCCAGAGGGTCCCTGGGGGTCTGGGGTGAAAAGGGGGGAGAAGAGAAGCAGGGAGGAAATGCCAGATGCCGCTGTGAGAATGCCATTCCGTCCCACAGGTGACATAGTGAGAGGAGGGTGGCAACAAAATGGTGATTGCTGCTGATCAGCCTGACATCTTCAAGACAAGAGGCCCAGAAAGGACTGCACATCTGCCTCCTAGTGTTGTCCTGAATGGGAGCTCATTACCCGGTGTTCATTACCTGTAGGTCTCTCAGCTTCCCGCAGGCATGCCACACTTGCGGTAAGCAAAGCTGCTTACCTCCCTATGTTCTTTGGGCCTCTGAAAGGGACTGTCCACTTAGCTGCAGCCTGGCAAGGAAGGGAGTCTTACAACACTGTGGATATTTTCGACTTTTATTGACACTCGGGCTGAAACCAAGTATCCCCTCGCTGCTTCTCCATCTTCAGCATTCTGTCCTGCAGGTGGCCTGCTCAGGCTGACAGCTTGGAGCGCCTGCAGGCTCCAGTTCTACTGCAGCCCAGCTTTTCCTCTCACTGCTTAATTCTTATTATGACAATTCTTTCATTTCTACTTCAAAGCTTCCCTAAATTAACAACACTCTATCCTAAGCTAAACAATCCTCTACTATCCAAGCTCTCTACGTTCTATAGTCCTTAAAAGTTGATCCCTACATCTCCTAATTTTTTTAAACTTTCATCTTTTGCAGAAAGAAAAACAACAGAGCTTTAAATTGAACCTAACAACATATCTAACCCAACCTAACCTAACCTAACCTAACCTAACCTAACCTAACAGCTAACCTAACAGCTAACCTAACAGCTAACCTAAGAGCTAAACTGAGCAAATATTTACACTCTCATGTTTCCTATCTACAGCACAGCTCCTCTTCAAACTCGGGGGATGGCTGAAGCTCGGCCTAAAGATGACGCATCCCCTTTTCCCTCCTCTCGGCTGGCGGGGCATCAGGGCCTCCTCAGGCGCAGGTGTCTCCTCTCCAGTCTTCCTGCACTCGCTTGGCTGAGATGATCAGAGCAGCCAGGCTGGAGGCAGGATCGCCTGAGGTCACAAAGGGATGCTGCCCAGAGGAAAAAGAGCAAAGAAAGGAACTCTTACTTTCCAGGATCACATCCTCGCGGGCTCAAGCAGGATTCCCTGGCTATCAGCAAGACACACATCGAGCACCGAGGGCAGCATGTCACCCTGCGCCTTCCTGTCCTGGCAGCTTTCTGTGCCACGTGGCCCACACTCCTCCTCCTCATCCCTTCATGCAGGTGTCCTCAGCTGCCAGGCCTTTTTGCCCCTTTGCTTTTCCTTACCTGTAGGAGCTCCTGGGCAGACCAGCGCCTGTCCTCATCTGCCTGCAGGCAGCAGCGGAGGAAGTCGCGCAGGAGAGCCGAGTGGTGCCTGGGGTTCTGCAGTTTTGGGGGCCCGTTCCTTTCTAGCAGTTCAAAAACCTACAGCACATGGATGCAAGAGGACACTCCACCTGCTCCTTTGCTAGCCACACACAGCTCTCTCCACACAGAGCCCTCTTGCTAAGCTGCACCTTACCCGGAGACGGGCTTCCCGCTGGTAAGGAGCTTCCCCTTCCACCATTTCCAGCCCCATGATCCCCAGGGACCAGATGTCCACTTTGGGGCCGTAGGCTTCTCCTCTCACCACCTCCGGTGCCATCCAGCTGGGAGTGCCGACGCTGGAGCTGCGCTTGCTGTGCTCAGGGCTGAGCTGAGCACAGAGGCCAAAGTCACCTGAGGACAAAAACAAAGCCTGTCAAAGCCAGCTACCACTGGCAAAGCGGCCAAAACCATTGCCCACTCCAAGCCTGACCAGGCCATGCTGAATCTAGCTGAAAAAGCAGCTGAGCCCTCTTTCCACGTGCCTGGAGCCAGGCAAATAAGGCATCGGCCGCTTCAAAAACACCCTGACGATTCACGCACTGGCCAAGCCGCGCTTCTGCCCCAGTGGCCGTCACCAAAATGCAAGCGCACGGCATATGCTGGACATGCTGCAGCCCAGCAGGGACACCCACCCAACTTGACGGATCCGTCCGTGCTCACAAGGACGTTGCAACTTTTGATGTCTCTGTGGATGACTTGGCGGCAATGAAGGAAATGCAGTCCTTGCAGGCACTGAGAGAGAAGAAGGAGGGAGGGAAAGTTAACGTGCAGGATCTGATTTCATCCCACCCGCAAGGAAAGAGCTCAACGGGATTGGCGGCTTTCTCAGGGAATTGTGAGCCAGGGCGAAACATCACGCTGCTGTCATCATGAAGAGCTTGCTGCTTCAACACTCTTGGAAGTTTTTTCTAGATTTCCAAGCAAAGGCACCTGGGCTCCCAAAAGTTCCACCGGCCTTGGGTAGGAAGCGCGTCACCTTTGGCTGGGAGGCGGCACGGTAAAGAATTTTGGGGAAGCCTAGTGGCAGCAGAAGAGGAAGCTGCTGGTGACAGCAGCACCTTCGAGCTGTTCCAGAATGCATCGCCATCCAGGCTGCAATGCTATCCTTTGAAGCTGAGGACAGCTCTTTGCCCTTAGCTTGAAATTCTGCCACCCGCATGCTGCCTTCCAGTGGCAAGCAATGTAGGACAGACAGACAGGCTCCAGGCAAACATTCCCAGGCAAAGCTGAGAAGAGGAAGAAAGAGAAATTGAGCCAGTGAGCGAGCACCAAGGCCAGACAACA